TTTTGAAGCCCGACCTTAAGAATCTGATCGAATATTGAAATTGTTAAATGTTAGAAATTTTGTGTTTATAGAATTGGTATTTTATATTTTAGCATTGAATAAAAATTCAACACGTATAGATAAAATATTAAAGAAGACTAGATAATTGTTACATGCAAAACTCAAAAAGGGAAAAAAATTTGTAGGGATAGGCTTAGTTGAAAGATCCGCTAAAAAAGTGAGATATTAGAATTATTTCTTCCTCACAATTAAAAAAGATTGTGATATGATTAAATTTTCTCACATAAATCAAGTTTTGACTGAGGAACAGTTAGTACCCAACAATATAGTTTGATTTCCCTTAGGGATTACGGAAGTATGATTTTTACAGGCGTAAAGTTAATGCCAGCAACATGATTAAATCCTATCAGTCGTCTAGAGATGCTGGTGTAGTTTGTAGGTGATCATATTGTGCGATGGTCATAGGTAGCGATAGTTGGTGATGCTTGTGGTAGCGATAGTTGAAAAATACAAGAGAACTACACAATTTTCTTCATTCTTTCTCTACTCTTGAACCCTCCCTTTATGTTGAGTTTATTTATAGGCTTTTTGGATAGGAATTTTGATAATTTGAATAAAAATTCAAATCACTATACAATACGATCAATAGCGATTCATTCGACCAAAAAGCATTCTTTTAACGTTTATGTTTCTTAATAACATCGGAATCAAGCAATCAAGGGTTTGTTAGATTTGCCTCATCGAGTTGCTTGATTCAAATATAAGCATTCAAAATTTGAAGATAATTTAACATGACAATAAATGTTTGGAGATTTCAATTATACTTCAGTCTTTTTATTTGCCCTCATTTAGGCTTAGATTGAATCATTTTATGTGCTTTTAGGTTTGTCTCGTTGAGATTTTGTGTTTGATTATAGGTTTGCTGAAATTAAAGTTCAGATGATCTTAAATTAAATTATAGAAGTGATACGTCATCATGAAATTATCTTGATTGGGCACGAATCTCGAGGCAAAATCAATTTGGAAATTTCAAAAATTAAATTCGAGAGCATATGAACTCTGATTTCAGCGAGCTTACAGTCAAACTGAGCGTCTCGGAAATACGAACCCAACGACACCAAGATCAACCCAATCCGAACCCAAGTGAGTCCGAATCAAGGGCTCAGAGAGATGTTGGAAGGTTTAAACCGCAATTTGAGTTACTAAACGGTCTCCGATTTTGACGAGCTTATACTCGAATCGAACGGCTCGACGAGACGAATCCAACGAGCCCAAGATTGCCAAAATTCCGACATCATTAAGGCCTTCAAATGCCCAATGAACGGTGCATGATCAAAGGATTCGATATCGGCCGTCCATTCAAAACACTCCCAATTCGCCCCTGATCTCACGCCTATTTACAGGCTATGTCACTCCAGAAAAACTATAAATAGAGCCCTCATTCTACACCAAAGGAACTCAAGTGAAGAGAGAGAAGAAGAAGAGAAGAAGGAGGAGAAGGAAGAAGCTCCTCCTCGACCACCGTCGGAGCTCTTCCTGCCGCCTGAAGACGCCGGAACTCTGCCGAATTTTCGGGAAACGTCGGGAATTTGCAAAACTTTGTAAACTTCCTGGAAGAAACAAATTGTATTATGAGTGTCCCGACTTGTGGGACGAATCAGCCATTTGTAATCTACAAAAATACTAGTGGAACTTTACAACTAGGCGAGGCCTCGTGGATTTTTCCCTTTTTGGGTTTTCCACGTAAAAATCCTAGTGTTCACTTCTCTTTTCTGCTTGTGTGCTGAATACTCGTACAACGCTAGGACGCGAATTTATAAACTCTACCGCAGCGTATATTCTAGCACGCAACAAGAAGTTTCTCATTCTAATATTTTAGATATTCACGTCGATCATGCCAATTTTTTTTATAAACATATCAGAACAATTGGAAAAAAGATTCAAGACTAAAAATCCAATTGGATGTTCAATCGTATAGATATAAAAACATTTAAAAATTGGCAAAATTAATTTAATGATGTAATGATAATAAGTGCTGCATGATTGCATCCAAGGATATTCACGGCGACATGGAGATATAGAATTTAGCTTCCTAGTTTTTTTACAAAGATCCAACATATAAATAGATGAGATAGAGGGGTGCAACGTGATAACTATTGATAAGAGACTAAAATTTTTCGTAAAAAAAACCTAAAAAAGGGAAAATTTTTTAGGCATAGCCCAATTTGAACGAATCACTAATATTGATAGCTGATTACAAATAATATCCCTCATTGAAGGAGCATGCTAGTTTAATGTTGCAAATATATTTTGTATATAGCTTGTTACGTGATAACTATTCTTAAAAGAGTGTAGACATATCTGTTTGGTCAGTAGGATTGTAGTCGGCGGGCAACAGTGGCGAAGGGGCTAATGTTGGGGGGCGACAATGGTCAGAGGGATTGAAATCGATAGGCGATAGTGGTTAAAAGGACCGTAGTCGACGGTCGATGGTGGTCGAAGGGACCATAGTCGGCAAGCGTTGATGGTCAGAGCCCAGAGGGACCATAGTCGATGGACAACTTTGATCGGAAGGGCCATAGTCAAATGACAATAGTGGTTGAAGGGAACATAGTTGGGTGACGGTGGTATACGAGGGACTGTAGTTAACGAGTGAAGGTGATCGGAGGGACCGTATTCGACGAACGATGGTGGTCGGAAGGACTATAGTCAGCGGGCGACGGTGGTCGGAAGGACCGTCGTCAACGGGCCACGTTGGTCGAAAGGATTGCAGTTGTTGTGTGACAGTGGTCGGAAGGACCGTAGTGAACAGGTGACGGTGGTCAGAACTCAGAAGGGTTTTAGTTGGATGACATCAACTTATCCCTTTACTCAAGCTAATGAAGAAGACCATATGCTAAAGAGATTTCCACAATTCAGGGGATTTTTCCCTTTGATGTAAATTGAATAATAGAGAATGACCCATCAACATCTAACGATGGTTGAAAATTTAGTATTAATTACCACTGGGCAGAAGTTTAGAAATATTTGGTTGTTGGAAAAAAGATTCAACAAAAATCAACGAATAGTTGGAAGTCGGAAGACGGTCGATGGTAAGGAAGAGATCTGGCTTGTGGTACAAGCTTGACAAAGTTAGAGATATCCTTCATTTTTATTCTTTCTCTCACTACCTTTGTGAAGAATTAGAAGTCTATTTATAGTATTTTGGGTGTGGCATGACCCGTAAATAAGACGACGATCAAGGGCATGCTGGGAGTGTTCGATGGACGGCCGATATTAACTCCATCGATTGGATTGTTTATCGAGGATTTGAGTGTCTTAATGATATCAGAATTCGGCAATCTTGGGTTCGTTGGATTCGTCCTGTTGAGCCGCTCGATTCTATTATAAGCATGTCACATTTAGATACCATTTGACCATCCAATTAGTATTATGGAGCTTCCAAATAGGCTTCAGGCCCTCGATTTTGGATCCATTTGGGTTCGGATTGAACCGGTTTTGGTGTCCTTAAGTTTATCTTTTTGAGGCGTTCAGTTTGACTATAAGTTTGCTAAAATCGGAGTTTGGATGGTCATTGATTTAATTTTAAAAATTTTCGATTCATATTTATATCATGATTATATATTCTTCATTTACAAAGCATAATAAATTTAATATATAACTTTCCATTTAAATGAGCTTGTAAAAATTAATTTAAATTCATTGGACTGAAGATAGTCAAACATGAGTTAACTTTTTTCACTACCAGTTTTGATGGGTTAGGGCTTATACGGGAAAGCTTTCTATTACTTTATTTTTTCATATTATAAACACATTTCTTCTTTTTTTTTGGGAAAAAAAAAAGTTTTCTGCTAATTTCTTATTATTTTTCAGAAATTTTAATGATGAGAAGCTATTTATTGAGATACGATCTATTATATTTGGCGGCTATAAAAAAATGCTAGATTTAAAATATAATTAAAAAATAATAATCTTTTTTTTTTATGGAACTTGAAATCCACCCACTGTCACTCCCGAAAGGGTGCTCGGCGGCGTGACTAATCATCGGCTGACCTAGAAGAAGTACCCACCACAAAAACCTCCTGGCCCGCACTTGATTGAGTTCCACTTAAGAAGCATTGCCGCTCAAGAGAATAGAGCACGGGTTGGAGGGTTCTCAGCCGTACTCACCCACCAACCAAACTAAACATTGGTGGGTAAATAATAATCTCTCCATTATTGTTTTAAAAATAACTTTATAAAAAATTCGCCCTAAATAAACAGGCATTTGACTTCTATTGCCTATTTATTTAATTAGACTTAACCGATTTACCATCCAACGATTAAGGCTTCATTTGGAACGGCTTTTTTATTGCTTTCTAAGTGGAGTTTTAGTACAAAATTTTTTAATTTTGTACTAAAACTCCGTTTTAGAAAGCAATAAAAAAGCCGTCACAAACGAAGCCTTAATCACCCGATTTGATTTTATCTTCTTTGATTACAGAATCAAATTACACAATAAATACTTCATTATAAATAGCGTGCCACTATTTCTCCACTTCACATGCTCTGTTAATGTCTCTGTTCCGCTCTGCTCCCCATTTCCCCTTCTTCCCATCTCCTTAACTCTCCCATCAAATTTTCACTCCATGGATTCTGCTCCAGAATTCCAACAAAACAGGATTCCAGTTTACGGCCTCCCCACTGAATTCTTGCAGCCAGCTCTGCCACCGCCGGCGAATTTATATCCTCTTACGCCTCTTACCTGCAGTAACCACGCAATGGGAGCAATGAAGGAGATTATATATGGCCTGGCGGCGCTGCAGCCGGTGCAAATCAATCTGGATCTAGTGAAGGTGCGGCCACGGCGCAATGTGAGGATATCGAAAGATCCGCAGAGCGTGGCAGCGAGGCAGAGGAGGGAGCGTATTGGCGAGCGGATCCGGATACTGCAGCAACTGGTGCCTGGGGGAACCAAGATGGACACAGCATCAATGCTCGACGAAGCCATTTGTTATCTTAAGTTTCTCAAGGCGCAGGTGAGAAAAATGGAGACGACCACCGCCGGAGGACAGAGGCGGGCCGCCGTGGCAATTGCAGGTGGACAGGGACTGCGGTCGTAGTAAGAAGGACGATAATATGCTTGTGAGATAAATTTATGTGTTAATTTTAAATATATATGCTTGATTTGTGCAGCTGTTTGAGATTTTTTTTTATCAATGTATATTTGATTATTATTTTCTAGTTTTTTTTAATGAAAAATAATTATTTACTATATGATCTAATAAAATATGTTAATTATAAGAAAATTTTTAATTTACTTTAAAAAATATCATAAATTATTATTTAGAAAGTTATTTTTCAAGTAATAATTTATATTATTTTTCTAAAGAGCTTTTAAATCCATAAAATCTCAAAAAATTTATGAATGGGGCAAAATAAAAGCACAGAAAATCTAACTAATCTAAAATGAAGTGAATAAAAACATAAAATTTTCGGATAATTAATTGAATACAAACACGGTTTAAATCCAATAAATTGATCTGAAATTAGAGGTGTAAGAGAATCAAGCCAACTCGTAAGTCAGCAAGGATTCAACTCGATAAATAGCTCGTGAGTCGAGCTCGATGAGCTATCGAGCTAAGTTTGAGCTAGCCCTAACAGCACATTAGCTCGTGAGTTGACTCGTTTAAAAAAATAATAATAAAATATACTTAAAATATATTATGATTCAGGATAGAATAAAGCTTTAGCTTGAGAGCTCAAACAAGCTTAAATTAAAGTAACTCGAGCTCGGCTCAACCTGTTTGAATCCCTTGGCTGAAATATATGCCAAATAAACATAAACTTGGCTCATTTTCTCTCTCAAATCATCTCACACAGGAGCTCATGATAATCAATAAATTATTTTATTTTTATTATTTTATGATTGAGCGGAGAAGACAGGCGAAAATTTAAGGGTCCGACCAACCATCTCATTGATAAGTTACATTCAAAGGAGAAAAATATGACAAATTAGCCCCCAAAAGATTACAAAAACTCATAAGAGAATATAAAAAGAAAGTTACTACCCTTGTAATAAAAGAAGAAAAAATGAATCAAACGAAAAATAGTGGGATCAAAAGAAGAAACAAAGCTTAAATTTGCAAACAGGTAAACAACTGTGAGAAAGAAAAAAAAAATCTTTTAATTTGTTTTTTTGGAGAAAATTTTACAATAAAGCTAAGCCCTTTATATTTATGAAAACAAGGAATTACAATAAAATAATATAAAACATCAAACATAAACAACAATTACAATGATGAAAACCAATAAAATTTTAAAAAACCAAAACCACCATCCAATCCGAACGATTAAAAGGCAAAAGGACCCATATAATAAGGATGCCTAACATAAACGAGTCATAAGCAAATCAAATAGAAGTTTATCTCTTTAGGATTTCATATCATAAATAAATATCTCCTAAGTCTAGGTGGCCTCAAGACTATACAAAAAAAGAGAAGATGACACTAGGACCTTCAGTGAGGCAGCAGAACCCAGTACGGAGTAGAAATCCCATCGATAAAACCTGGTTTTCACAAGAACAAATCAAAGAACACCTAAAAAAAAAATCCTCTTCGCTCCTTTTCGCTTTGCTAAGGTTTACCCCTCGCGGCGTCGTGCCGCTCTTCGGTAGGGCGGGCTGGCTTCTGGCTTCCAGGGAAGTTCTTCCATTATACTTTCTCCTGGTTTTTGTTCTTGTTTCTGAGATTTTGTTGGTGGTTTTCTTTCCGGCGTGTGCCGGATGAAGGGGTTTCGAGTTCTTCTCCCTCTTTTCTTCAAGCTCTTTCGGGATCTTCTGCTTGTAATGAGTTTCCTAAACTTAAGGTGTCTTCTTTCCGCGGTATGCCTTCACTGTGGATTTCGGATGAAGAAATCAAGGCTTTGGCTGTGCCTTTTCAATTTGCTCTAGTTGATTTTTTTCCTACAAAGCGACCGTCTCTTGACTCTATTCGTAAATTCTTTTTTAATCTCAAGCTAAATGGTGATGTCTAAATTACTTTGCTAGATTCGTCCCATGTTCTGATCAAATTGAAAAATGATCTTGATTATTGTCGCATTTTCTGTCATATATCTTATTTGGTCTTTAATTGCTTTATGAAACTAACAAAATGGTCGCCTTCTGTTGATATCGGGGTTGAATCACCGGAGATCCCGATCTGGGTTTCTTTCCCCTTTTTGCGGTCGCATCTGTTTTCACCTAAAATTCTTCATGGCTTGGCATCCATTTTTGGCAAGCCTCTAAAAATTGATACGACCACGTCTTTGGGTTCTAGACTGTCTTTAGCTAGGGTGTTAGTTGAGCTTGATATCACTAAATCCTATCATAATCGTATTTGGTTAGGTTCCAAAAAACTTGGATATGTCCAGCATGTCGTGATGGATGTTTTTCCTGCTTCTTTTTGTGGTACTTGTCATTGTTTCGGTCATGCTGTGGGTGATTGCCGGTCTAAAACTGTTGTTTTGGAATCGCCTATTTCACCTAAAACTATAGAACCTAATGCTAAAATTGTTCCCCCTATTATTGTGGAATCGGTTGCTGGAGCTCAGGATGATTTGACTGTGTCTGCTTTGGTGGTTTCTGCTTTACCTAGGGAGGAATTTGGCGTGCCAGACGTTGGTGGTGTTAATTCTGAACTTGTTACTAATGCTTTATCTCCTAATACATTACCTTTTTTTCCCCTGTTTTGGTGAATGCTAGTACTGAGGGTTTGCCGGGTAACCCTTTGAATATTTCTTCTCTTTCGGAAGAACTTGCTGCTGTGAATCCTGCTGTGATTCTGTGTGAGGATTCTGTGGGTTTGGTGGCTCCTCTGATTGTGACTACTTTGCTGAGTAATGAGGCTTTGCAGCCTGGTGTTTCGATTGATCCAATTAGTGTTGTAGTTCCTGTTGTGGCTGAGGCTGTAATTTCTCCGCCTAGTGCCGAGTGTGTGCAAGTGGAAAATAATGTTGTTTGTACGGAAAACTTGAGGGATTCTCCGGTACTTTCTAACAATTTCATTGATGTCCCTGTAAATTTGATCGATACGCATACTTTGGTCAATCATATGGGGAAAAATTCTGGGTTTGACATGAGGAACCATATGAATTGGTTGAAATCAGAGTTTGAATCGGAATCTGATTTCTCGTATTGTGGCTTGGTTTCCCCGGACATTTGCGGTGGATCTGACCCTGACAACGACTTTAATTTAGTTTGTGATAGGCCTGTAGTTTCGGTCGCCCCTCGTAGAAGATTTCGTGGGAGGGGACGAAGGAGAAGATAACCTGTCAGTTTGCTATTTGGTCCAGTTGTTTTGTGCGGTTGGTTTTTGCGTTTGGTGATGAGATGGTTTATAGGGCTATGATGTGGCTGGGACTCGTATCCTTTTCGCCTCGCTGGTGGATACCATTGGTGCAATTTTTTGAGTTGATGGTTTCTGGGCGATGCTGTCTCTTTTTGGATGGTCCCGCGACGCTTCTTCGATGCTGGGAGCCTCGGCCGTTAATTAGTGAGCCCGCTTTTTATTGTAATTTCTTTTCATGTTTTTCTTTTTATTTGAGCATTTGCTGTTGTAACTGTTTTTTATCTTTATTAATATTTTTGGTTGTTTAAAAAAAAAATCAAAGAACACCTCAAACTTATTGGCATCAATCATCATCGTCCATACAACAAAACATCCACGGCAAACTTAAAAATCCAACTCAATAAAAAATCTTTGGGAAAATTTTTTGAAGCTCCTCAAAATTCTTCCATTTAATTACTTTTATTCTGATAGCATTTCTTGCCGAATAGCGCAGAGTAGGAGAGACCAACTTGCCATTGAGTCATATTTTATTTCTTTCAATTCAAAGAAAATAAACCAAGGAAGAAATAGCAAAGTAACAAAAAATTTCAATTTTTAACTGTGTTGCTTAATTCATGTATAAGTTCAAAATGCTCTAATAACTGTAATAAAGTTTGCATCTTAAAAAACGTATCGAGCTATGGAAAAAAAATGCAGGAAAAATTAATGTCAATATTCATCTTTACTACCTGATCAACCATTTTTCTTTCCATAAATTCTAAACCCTAAAATCCTAAAGCTTAAATCATTGGGAACATAAAATTTGGGAGAGAAGAGGAAGAATTTAGGTTTGAAATTTCTTCTTTTGTAATTTGATTTTCTATTTTATTTTCTTTTCAAATTTAGAGAATAAAATATATAAATTAGGTTGGAAATTTTATTCTTTGTTGGAAAGTAATAGTATAAGATATTTCAATAGGAAGAAAATTCAAACATGAAGAAATATAGTGGGTGAAAGCCTCAATTCAACGAGGAAGAAGAAAATATTTGATTTATTGAAGTAATTAAATTTAATTTATAATATTTAACTTTCAATTATATTTGAAATTATCAGTAGATGTTGTAATCATAATTATAATTTGGAAGTGGAGGATTAACCTATTGCTGGAAGGTGAAGTGCTGAAGATAATAAGGGGACTCACAAGAGAATTTAGCTAAGATTTCATATATGTTAAAGAAGCAATTATGTAAAATTAATAAAGTTAGAGATAATATAATAATGCAAATTTATGAAATTGTGTGCGTGACTTTAGGTTGCATTAATGAAGACTATTTCATGGATTAAGGATTTGAAAGGATCACTACAGAAAATTCAGCTATTACCGGCTGTTTTTTTCGGCGGTTTACCTGATATTATTGGCAGTTCTGAAAAAAATCGACGGTTATTAAGTCGCCGGAAAAAACGGCGTCAGAAACCATTGCCGACGGTTTTTTTCCGGCGGTTTTTTTCCCCGGCTGCTTTCCGGCAGCTATCTGGCCGTCCAACCGCCGGACAAGTTACCGGCGGTTCATGCTGACGGAATTGCCAGCGGTTGTAGCCGCCGACATGTCGCCGAACAACCGCCAGACTGCGTCAGTAAACCGCCGGTAAACTACCGGCGGTTAGAGCCGACGCCATTGCTGGCGGTTGAAGCCGCCGTCGTGAGAGGGATATTTACTATTATTTTATAGCCTAGACAACCGTCAGTCTAGGCCGCCGGTAATAGCTGAATTTCCTGTAGTTGATTTGAAGCTCAAATGTAAACAAATTGGATAAT